GTTCTCTACCTAATTTTATAAAGCCAGTACAGGCATTCTCCACAGAACATTTCCCTAATTAATGTTTTCCCAGTAAATTTAATACTCCAACATCATACAACATTTATATCTCTCAAAACAACATTTCACTATTGTTTACAATTATATTTAGGACACCAAAACTCAATACAACATTTTTACCAATAACAAACAAACAAAGAAACAAATGCATGAGAAATGCCTTGAGTAACATTACAAACACGATTGGTAAAATGTCTGGGTCACGTGTCAGCAAATCGAAAAGCACACTGAATATCAGTGAAAGGGCAAGTCTACACAAATGCTCTACTGGTGATAAAAGAAGCATTAAAGCATCATCCTCAGTGTGAATCATTCTCTGCCACATTTCCACAGTGCCTTCATATTTCATAGTGCCCTTTTTCCCCCTAATTTTGTAGAATGAGAACCAAAAAAGTTGAGAAAGTGTTCAAGAACTTAATGGAGAAGGAATCAAAGCAAGCAGAAAAGCAGTAACAATGAAAGAGAATGTGTTACTCCTGACAAAGCCACTATTTAACAACTATGTTGTTTGGTGATCAAGATGCAAAGTTATGAACATTTACAGCCTAATGTTATAGTTTGTTATTTAATAGACGTTTGTTGACTGTATCTCAGTTACATTTTAGGAAATTGGTTGGGTTAACAAGTAACCCATTATAATTTTACCATTTAAAATAAAAGGAAATAGGCTCCCAGTTGATGTTTTTGCACAGAACATCTGATTTTCAGAAACAAATTACTAATATTAAGTAGATATCTGTATAATATTAACATCAAAACTATCACAGATATAAGAACGATAACCACAGTCCCATCTAAATGACAAGTTTGGTTTCTTCCAGAAATGTAAGATTGGTTCAACAACAGAAAATATATTATGTAATTCACCTCATTAACAAATTACAAGAAAAAATCATATGTTCATCTCAACAGAGGCAGAAAAAAATATTTAATAAAAGTCAACATTCATTCATGATAAAAAAAAAACAAAACTATTAGCAAACTAGAAATAGAAATAGAAGGAAACTTCCCGAACTCAATAAAGAAAAGGAAAAGCATAAAAATGTCTTACACATCACACACACAGGGTGAAACTTTAAGAGTTTTCCTTTAAAATCATGAACAAGACAAGGATGTCTACTATTATCACTCTATTTGACACTGTTCTAGAAGGCCTAGCCTGGGCATTCTCACACACAGACACATGTAAAAGGTATAAGAATTGAAAAGGCAGAAATAAAGCTTCAGCAGATGATATGATTAAGGAGAAAACTCAAAAAATCTACAAATTATAAAAAGTATTCAAGTTGTTTAATATCAATTGGATATTAAATTGGATCCCTAGCACCCACCATAAACAAAAGTCAACTCAATATGGATTAAGTACTTAAAATGAAATGTGTGTAGCTTATCTGCAAAATCTTACTTACGCTCCTGGTGAGAAAAATTGGAGTGGGGTAAGAAGGAATTGGGTAAGAAAAACAGCTCACTTCTCACTCTCCACCCCTTACAGGGTGCTTTAGTTTTCTCTTGCTGCCATAACAAATTAACCAAATTTAGTGGTTTAAACAACACAAGTTTATTATCACAGCTCTATAGGTCAGAAGTCTGGGCAAGAGTCTCCCAGGGTTAAAATCAAGGCATCAGCAGGGCTGTCTTTTTTTCTGGAGACACTAGGGAGAATCTGCTTCCATCCTCATTTAGGTTGTTGGCAGAATTCACTTGCAAGCAGCTGTAGAATGAAGTCCCTGTTTCCTTGCTGGCTGTCAGCTGAGGGCCATTCCCAGCTTCCAGAGGCTGCCTGCATTCTTTGGCTTCAAAGATCTTCCTCCTCCACCTTCAAAGCTAGCGATGGAAGGTTGAGTCCCTCTCCTGCCTTCTCTTCTGCTGCATCTCTAACTCTTCTGCCCTCCTTTTCCATTTTTATCTCCTTATCTCACAGTACCTAATGTTAATCATATCTGCAAAGCCCCTTCTACTATGTAATGAAACAGGTCTGGGGATTAGGATGTGGGCATCTTTGGGGGACCGTTAATCTACCTACCACACAGGGAAACCTAGGTTGTTCCATGTTTGCACTAACACTGCACGTAGCTTGTACTTCCTTATATAATGTCTCAACCCCAGCAGACAAGGGTGGAGGGGAGACTAGGTAGAAAATATCCTCTATCTTTTTCTCGTGTCCTTTTGGCTTGCCTTTGCTTAATTATTGGGTTTTCCTTACCGGGCTATATAAGGTTGAAGCAGACAGGAAGATGAAGATTTCAGAATTGATTTCCTGACACCAACACTAATCCAATAACTGGAACAAATACCTCCCCTCTACCTACTCTTGAACCATCCAGAGTTTAGGGAAGAGATATAAAGGGGAGATAGGAAAGAGGAAGGTGGGAGCAAAAATATCAAGCCACTAAAAGAAAAACAGCAGCATGTTCCCCTCTTCCTTATGAACTCAACCCAAGAATGTTCCATATCTGGGGTGGTGGTAAACAAGAGGAAGAGTCTAGCTCATGAGAGTCATTTATTGGATGCCACTATGTACTACACAGTGCTAGGCGATTCCACAAACCTTTCTTAATTCTTTAAACTAACCTGTGTGGTACATGGGTATAGTCACTATCCTGTAAATGAGGAACCCTGGGCTCAGAGAGGTGGTCAATCACCTAAGGGAACAGGTTTAGAGCTGGATCTAAACCAAGATCTGCTGGCTGCTCCAACCCAAAGAAATTTCCTCTCCCTGACTTTCCCTAGCAAGAAAGCAAGACCGAGGAGGGCCAACCCTGGTGGCCTAGTGGTTAAAGTTCAGTGCACTCTGCTTCAGCAGCCAGGACCCGGTTCCTGGGGACAGAACCACACCACTCGTCTATCAGTGGCCATGCTGTGGCAGCCGCCTACATAAAAAAAAAGGAGGAAGAGGGGCCTGCCTGGTGGTGTAGTAGTTAAGTTCACATGCTCTGCCTCGCGGCCCAGGGTTCACAGGTTCGGATCCCAGGTTATTTAGAGTTATTTACCTTCTTGTGATCATTACACACTTATTCCTGTATGTCCCCATTGTCTCCGAGTTGATGTTATCATTCAAGCTAGTCCCTGTGTGATGACCACTGAGCTGTGGGCTTGAATTTTCTTTTCTCTAACTTTTCCTTCTTTTCTTTCCTTCCTTCCTTCCTTCCTCCTTCTACCTTCCTTCCCTCCTTCTCTCCCTTCCTCCCTTCCTTTCTTCCTTTCTTTCAGCAGTAGAATTCAAAGAACAAAGAAAGGTGCTGGGATGTGGTCTCTGGATGATGCTCTGCCAGCCCTTAACAGGAGCAAGGAGACCCAGTTGTTATCATACAGCCCTCTCCCTGCAGTTTCTATCCCTTCAATGAGTTATGGTTATCAAGCAGAAAGCCAATTAACAACCTCTGCTTTATTTCTGTGATAATAATTAATCAATTCTAACCAATTCAGCATAAAATCCCAACACCTTACCACAGGCACAAAGCCCTATATGATTTGCTCCTGCCTGTCTCTTCCGCTGCATCTCAGGCCACTCTGCACTCCTCAGGCTGCTCCAGCCACACTGGGCAAAGCCTGCTGCTGAGCACTTGAAATGTGACTAGTCTGAATGAAATGTGCGGGAAGTATAAACTATATACCAGACTTTCAAGGCTTAGTAGGAATAAAAGAATGCAAAATATATCATTAATAATTTTATATTGATTACATGTTGAAATGATAATATTTAGCGTATGTTGAGTTACTACTAAAATTAACTTGTTTCTTTTTACTTTTATACGTGGCATTCCAAAAACTGAAAATGACATCGTGGTTCTCACTATATGTCTATTGGCCAGCACTGCCCGGTCACATTACCCTCTTTTGTGTCCTCCTTGGCATGTACATCATCTGGACTTACAGTGTCCATGTCACCAGTTCTGTGTCTTTCTCGCCCAACTAGAATTAACACAGGAAACTTCTCTGTCTCATTCACACCTGATTCCCAGGTATTTAGGACAGAGCATGAACACACTAAGTACTCAATAAATATTCTCTCTTTTTTTTATTGTGAGGAAGATCAGCCCTGTGCTAACATCTGCCAATCCTCCTCTTTTTTTGCTGAGGAAGACTGGCCCTGGGCTAACATCCTACTCATCTTCCTCCACTTTATATGGTACCCACCACAGCATGGCTTGCCAAGCAGTGCCTCGGTGCGCGCCGGGAGCCAAACCAGCCAACGCTGGGCCACTGCAGCAGAGCGCAGGCACCTAACCGCTTGCGCCACCTGGCCCGCCCCCAATAAATAGTTTCTGAGCAAATCTTCCTCTTCCTCAGCTGGAGACTGTGACCCCTCTCTGTCCTCCGCCAGAACACGAGGTCTCCAGTCCCTTGGGCTACACCCAGCTCAGCGCAGACCACGTGCTCTTGACCCTGGGGGGAAAGGTGGATGAGTATCCACACCTGACAAAACCTGCTCCGCGGAAAGAACTGGTCACACAAAGCGGCGAACCCTCGCCCCTCACTCCTCTCCCCCTCCGAGAGCCGTCCCCCGGCCAATCACGAGGCACTTCGCCCTCCCGCCACACGGCGGCGCCTCGCGAGGCCGCAGCAGCCGATGGTACCGTCCGTTCTCCCCGCGCCCTTCGTACAGTGGGTCCTTCCAGTCGTAGAAAAGCATTGTGGGACACTGGCGCGGCCTTTTGCGCCTCCGCGCTCCGGCGGGGATGTGCTGCGCGGGCGTTTACGAGATGGCGGGTGGCTGGGCGTGCGCTGGGCCCCCGACGGCTGGGGCGCCGGGCGGGGGCTCGCGGCGGTCCGAGCCTGGTGGCGCGCCCGCGGCGGCCTGGCTGTGCGAGGCCCTGGGCCCTGAATGCGTGGAGGGCTGCGGCCTGGCCTGGCCTGGCCAAGTTGTCCGTGAGACCTCAGGGGGCCCCGAAGCGGCCGCCCGTCTGCGATCCCACGCCGGCACATGGGGAGAAGGATTTGAGTGCTTTTAAGTTTATAGGTCATCGACTGTATGCCAGGGAGATTTTAACGTAAGCGGGGCTTTCTCTCGTGTGAAAGGGAAAGGCCTCACCGTGCCACCGCGTGTATGCTTACCCTATCAATGTGAAGTCGGTCGGCGTAGAAGTCGAGTGCGTTTCAGGTTTAGATCTTGACAGCCGTTTCAAGGTGCAGAAGTCGGCGGGAATCGATCTAGTATCGCCAACTCTGCAGGTGAGTTTTCATGTTAGTGCAAAAAAGACCAGTCCTCTCGAAGTTTTAAGACACTTCGTATTTCAATTTTCATTACCTAGTCGGAGTTTGAATCTTAAAAGAGTATCTAGAGCTGGGATTAGTTGTTCCCTTTCCAGCTCCAATCAAGGGAACAGCTCCTTTGAGCTGGTTGATTTAAGATCGCAACTGGTGTGCCATATACAGCCTTCCGTAACCAGTTTCCATGTAGCCTTTGTGTTGCCCATTCACTTTTGAAACTAGTGAACGTGGTGTCAAAAAAGGCGCAAACGAAACACTTGGCAGCTTTTTCCAGCCCTTGAATTTGATGTCTTTGGTGTAGGAGCTGCATAAGTAACAGTGTATTGTTTTACATAAATTTGTTTACACGTGATCCTGAGTCTCCCAACGTGTTAAGTATATAGTTTTTCTAAACCGGTTTTAATTTTTGTTAAGGTGAGAGATGGATGCTTGAAGCATAGACTGCTGCTGAGTACTGTCTGGGGGCACGAAGGTGACTGACCTAAGGTAGGGTGATATTGAAGAAGTAGTTACTTGTAATGGGTATTTTATCACCTTTCTAGATTGGGCTGCCTTCTCTAGTGGGTATTAGTTTAAATTGGTTATTAACGGTTCCTTAGTATTAGTACTGCTAACACCTGTAGTTAACAAGGTGACTAACTGCAAATAGGATAGCCTGTTCCCAGCTTATTGTTGAAATCTTTAGATGTTTCTATGTGTGGTAGCTAAATTTTTTAAAAAACCACTTGTCAAATCTCAGGCATGTTTTATGTTGACATTTAATAAAGCTGAGTCCAGAAATGCATAACTTAAATGTGATGCAGAAGCATGTACTGAGTTTATTACCAAGTTCTTAAGATGTGATGTGTAAATATTTGCTTTTCAAATTGAATGCTTTATTTTGTCTTTTAGGATGTCCTTGGTGAGGAATTTGAAAACTTGATCTTCACAGGAGTTGCGTGGATCATTTAAAATTTCCAGGAGTCTAAGGAATATTAAAATTACTGCCTTTGGACAATCCATAAATATACATTTTAAGTGATGGGGCTATGAATAAATAATGTGCTTCTTGGAGGTTTGTGTATTAAGTGATTAACTGCCAGAAAATAGCATTCTTTCACTGAAAGATCAAAGGGAGGGTTTCTCCCTCCTCCCAGTAACTTCAAAATTGTTAAATCTCAGCTGTTAAGATTAATATGATTAATAAGATTATGAAATACAAGCTTATGCTGGCCCAAGGAGAAGTGCCTCGTGCATGATGAGCTGGACTAGTTAGTTTCTAGGTCACAAGTGTGCTTCTCAGTGTCACTGCATTTTTTTTTTTACTAGACTGTAAACTTAAGGTCGGCATATCTTTTTGCCTTCGCTTTGCAGGAAAGAACAAATAGTGTGTTTAGGTATTGAAAAAGTTTATTGAAAACACAGTACTAGGAGTTGGGGACACAATGGTGAGCAAAACACGGTTCCTCGGGAAGCTTACATAGTTGGAGGAGATGTCATCACAAATGTAAAACTGTGAGACAAACCCCACACATGACAGGATTTGACCAAATCAGGGAAACCTGAGAACACAGCGTTGAGACTAAAGGGTAGGTATCACTTTTGCAAGGCAAAGTTGGGGGCATGGCATATGCAGAGTACTTGGGCTAGAAAAAGGATATGACTGCATGTCGGGATTTGTGACAGTTGTAGCTGCTTTCCCTACAAAGTACCCTCATTTAGACAAGAGTGCTTAATAAGGCTTGTAAGATGGCCATTCTGGGAACTCAGTGTTACAAAATGAGGCTGAACAGGTAAGAGGCCAGACCACTCACAGCTCTGTTTAAAGCAAGGGGAAATCTGGTAGTTCACATTTGCAAGAAAAGGGATGCAGGTAAGCCAATTGGAAGTGACTGCAGTTGTCTAGGCAAGACATGACCATCTTGGACCAGTGTGGTGGTAAAATTGAGGATAGTTAAGCTATAGACGGCAAAGCCAACAGGACTTGGTAATAGGAGAAGTGTCCATACTGACTGCTGGGTGTGTAGTCATGCACATTCACAAGCATAATTGCCCTAAATCCAGCTGGGGAGCAGCATTTTAAACTACTTGAATTTGAATTGCCTTTGAGAAATATCAGTAGGCTCGTGGCAAAACACTGGTCTGTAGTTTGACCTACAGAAATAAACTTTAAGGCCATGGGCATAAATGAAATCCACCTGGGGTAGAGGAAGAGGGCCTGCGGTTTGAGGAGCCCCGATTAACTGGTGAGGTAGAACAGCATGAGCTGCAAAGGATAGCATGGCAGAACCCAAATGAGAAGTCCATTAAAGAAAGCAAGAATGCTGCAAGGCAGCCTAGAAGTTAGCTTGAGATATGGTGACATGAAGGTGATTTTAGCCTGCTTTAGTGGAGCAGTGGGGTGGGATCCATATTAGAGTTTAAAATAGAGATTAGGAGATGAATTGAGGACGTTGGCTGTAGATAATCCTTGCAAGAAATTCAGAATGAGAGATGGTAGCTGGAGAGGGATTTATGGTTGTGAAAGTTGGTTGGCTTATTTTAGATGGCAGTCTTAAGTTTAAAACCAAGTGGTAAGGATCTAGCTGAGAGGAAGAGATTGAATATATTAATACAGGGAACAGCAGGGACAAGAAAACTGAAGGAGATAGGGTCCACAGTACAGGTAGAGGGACAGGAGGAAAGGATTAGGGTTGATGGCAGCCAAGTAGCGGTTGGTTTGTGGTAAGGGGAAGATGAAAGATGTCCTGCATGAGTATTTCTGTTTTCCCTGTAAAGTAGACTGCAAAGGCATCTGCAGAGAGGAAAGGTCTGCAGTAGGGGAGAGTTAAGAGCCACGCAGGATGGAGGGACCATTTCAGGTTGAAGGTCATGAATTTATAAGCTGAGGTCAAATGAAATCCACACACAGCCTTTTTCTTCTGAGAACATAAGACAAAGACACTAGAAATTAAAAGCAACACTTACAAACAAAACTTTTTACATTTGTAAATAACAAGTGGAACTTAATGCCACAAAATACAGTATTAACAAAGATCATATTTATATGAATAAAAATATCTGCAGTCTGAAAGGGATCCCTCAGTCATGCATCTGTGCACAGTCTGAGATGCACCTCGAATTGGGAAGAACCTTTTCATCCCCTTTGGTGTACTATTGCACAGCTAGCTAGCTGCAGTCCAGGCGTCCAGAACTTGGATCAGAAGCATCTGGTCTTGGTTGTGGTGGACATGAGATACTCGCAGTTTCCAGGAAGGAAAATATGGCATCAAGTGAAGGAGTTTTTACCAGACCACCATTCTTCCAGTTACCAAATAAAAAGGCCCTTCGGCACAAATATGCTCTAGTCAAACCTTATAAAGAAGCAACAGGCTCGATTATTTTGAAGAAACACTTTTGCGGGTCCAAGATATTTGAATAATTCACAGTTTCAAAGTAAAAGTGGCACACACACCCTTCCCATCCCCCATGTCAAGCCCTTCTTCACTGGGATCAAGTCTCCATCTTGAGGCGTGAAGCTTGAATGGTTTTTATTGTTTTTGCTGTGTGTTTTCCTGCCAGATTGCTTGTAGATGTCTGAGATTTTTCTTCAATCAGGCTATCTTTAGACCCATTTCTTCTCTAGAAAAAAATAGATTTGAAAAATGCAGAAAGTAAGATTCAGAGAAGAAAATACAGCAAATCAATTTTATTAATACATCAGAAATTAATAGATTTTCTTACATTTAAGATGTCGTTATAATTAGAAAGGTTCATAATACCAAAAGGTGTTCAACAAATATTCTATTTAAATAGTTAACAACCATAACAACATGAAGATTGTGTTTAAAAAGTTAATCTGACAGTTACATGCATAATTTTATTCATGAAAATTAGGCATAAATCTCAATCCATCCCCCAATTAAGTGTCATTTCCTTTGTAGCCATTCCTAAGCCAGGCTCTCAGGCCTCCCACTTTTCCAAGGAGGGGCAGAGAGGAGAGATGAAGAGAATGGGAAGTAGGGGGTAATTTATAATCTTCCCTGATTATATTTTCAATAGTCACTGAATGAAACCCCCAAAACACAATGATCTGGGGGCCCCTAGGCCCCCTGGGGATTTGTGTTTCTAGCCCCAACACAATCACTTGGGGCTAGAGTTCCTGTCAGCTGGGGTGGGGGGGGCCTTAGACTATGAGGGACTCATCATGGGGAAGCGTGGAGCCAAGCTACCAGAGCCTGGGTACCACACCCACAGGACTTTTGGAATTGGGTCACGTACATCTCCCACAGCCACAGGTGGAGGCCCTGAGAAGGACTAACAGTGTCGCTCACAGCTCCCTCTGCTTAACCTTCCTGCTCTGACCTTTCAGAGATAGCCTAACTTAGATCTGGCTAACAAGCATATTTACTTCCCCAATAGTATATCCCCACACCTAATGAGCTACACTGTCTAGAATTCTATTATTTTGAGATTCATTTGGGCTAAAAATAAATCACTCTTTAAGAAATGATCTTTCATCTGTTCCTGTGACTGGCTTAATTTGTTTTACTGATATGCAAAGAAGCACTGATGGAACAACCACTCTGCTAAGCACGAGAGAGTGAATCAAGGTAATTTTGGAGTATGAGGCGTTATCTGTTTGGGATGGAAGATTTCTAGAGAGCCAGAGAGGTAGGAGGAAGACACCAGCGCATGAGCCAGTGAGCAGGGGAATAGAGACCTATATGTCAGAAGAATCACCAGAAAAGGGGCTGGGAGGTTACCCAAACAAGCACTACCTTCTTGTAAGTTTGTCTAGGACTGAACCTGTCCCCTCTGCCTGCAAACCTTAAGGAAATATTTAAGTGAATCCAAGTCCCTGATCCACCTCACTTTTACTAGCCTTATGCATAAAAGGGGAGGTGAGGTGTAGGCAGGCCAGGCCACTGCCAGAAATCTGGCACCATGGTAGAACTTAGGAAATGCAACTTTCCTGCTTCCACGTGCCACTCAAGTCCCTTCTCCACATGGCAACCAGATAGGTGTTTTCCTTTTGGCACTTAAAATAGAATAAAATCCAAACTCTTCCCATGGCATCTAAGGCCTTGCGTCATCTGCCCTCCTTCCCCCTCACTCACTGTGCTCAGACCACGTTGGCTCTCAGCTCCTCAAACACCCAGACCCTTTCCAGCCTCAGCACTTTTTCCCATGCTCCTCCGTCTGCTTACATCAGCCTTCCACCCCCCCTCACATGGCTGGCTCCTTCTCACCTGCGAGGTTTCAGGTTTACATGTCACTTTCTGAGATGGCCTTCTCTGACCACCCTGTCTACCTAAAGTGAGGTCACCTGTTGATTTTCTAACGCAGGCCTTTGTTTCTTCACAATGCTTACTTAATGTTTTTATTGTTTTGCCTATTTACTTTTATGTGTAATATGTCTAGGCAGGAGTCAGCAAACATTTTCTGTATAGGGCCAGACTGTGGACTCCCTCCTGTCTCGGTTGATATTCCCTCCCCCACCACCACCACTTTTTTTTTTTTTTTCCCCAAACAACCCTTTAAAAATGTAAAAACCATTCTTAGCTCCCGGGCTGTAGAAAAACAGGCTGAAGACTAATTTAGCCCCTGGGATGTAGTTTGCTGACTGCGCAGACCAGTGCCTCTCACTCCTTAGATGTGGTCATTAGATATTTGTTGAGTTCAAAATCAAAGATGTCCCAGAGACAAGCCTAGATTCAGTGCCATTGATCAGAGGACAAGCCTAGAATCAGTGCCATTGATCAGAACAAACGAGTTGTTCTTGTGTGCAGCAAAGTGAGAGCTATCTGTTCAACATTTAATGTGTGTATAATTTAAGATTTTTGAGATTCTTAAGTGATGGTGATTAGTTACGGAGTAGTTGGAAAAGCAAAAAGACAATAAAAGTCCTATTTGTACTGAAACCAACAAATTTAAGACAAAAAAAAAGCTCTGAAAAATAAAAGTGCTTATTAATCATCTTCACAGTAACCCTAAGATGTAGGTTATTATTTACATTGCATAGAAATTGAAGCTTAGAAGTTAAACACTTTGCTCCAAGTCACACAAGTGATATGTGGAGAAGAGGAGACACAAATACAGGTCAGTCCGAATGCAAAGCCTCAAGTACTAATCATGAATAATAATTTTTACAAAGTGCCGTTGACTTGAAACAAACTGTTTGGACAACGTATTAGCTCTCCCAGATTTGTCTAATCAAGTATTATGCAGATTGTAGTGGAAGTTGTGGTTAACCACCCAGATCTCCATTCCAGACTGAGGCATTCATTCTCCCAGCTGCTGGGAGTGTTGGCTGCTGTACAGCTCAACACTGAACCCTTCCCAGGAACTGCCCTCAGTTGAAGAGAGCCACCCAGGGCCATGGCCCCCCCCAACCCCCCCACCCCAGCCAGGGGCTCCCTTTATCCAATGACTACTACATGGTGAGTGAGTATGTAAAGGCCCAATCCCCTTGTCTCCAGGAGGCATGAATTTGAAGGGCCATCTCAGCTCCCAGGCTCCCCATGGGATCAGCTGGTGCCTTTACTGGGACTGTACTACACAGTTCAACTCTGGCTTCTACCCAAAACTATCTTCCACTCCCCCGCAAGTGTTGATCCTAAGAGCACTTTCCAATAAACTTCCTCCATGCAAATCTCCATCGCAGGATCTGTTTTTAGGGAACATAACCTAAATTGGCACAGGCTTTTTCTGTCCTTGCAGAAGTCATTGACATAAATGAGTCAGGACAAACAAAAGGCAGAGCATGATGGATACTCTGGAGTCAGGGTTCTTAGGTTGTCCATGAACTCCCTGAATTTATACACAAAACTGTGTATGTGCTTACATGCATTTTTATGGGAGAAAGACAGCAGTTATAATTGCTTTTTGAAGGGATTCATGATCCAAAAAAGACTGAAAACCACAGCACTGCAAACAATGGGTGGACATTGATGCATTATAAACATCAACTTTGTTTTTAGAGTGGTTATTTAACCAGAGGTAAATCTATCCAACAATCTTATACAGCCTACATTTCTTGCTATCTTACTAAAAAATATACCATGAGAGATGGTGTCAAATACCTTGCTGAAATATATTGCTCTGGTGCTCCCTTCATGTATCTAATTCAGCTGAGTGTTACAATGAATTTGTTAAGGCGGCTAGACGCTTTGCTATGTCCTTAAATTCCCTTTTAACCACATTTTTTAAACATTTCCAGAGTGAAAGTAATTCTCTTTGATGGAGAAGACAGAAATAAAATAGGACTTGAGTAATTCTCCTGTCTACCATCAGTTAACAATAGAACACCTGCCCTCTGTGAGTCTACCACTTTCTCCTTGTTTCTATGGCTCAAAAAATATCTAAAAGTATTTTTTTAAATTAGTGAAGCCATTGTTTCTTTATTCTGGCTCCAAACAATGTTACAATCTTTGTTATCCTTGGCTTTGCCCCAAGCCTCAGCTCATTTTAGACCTTGCACTGCCTCTAGCTCTCACTCTTAACATAACTCTTCCCAGGCTGTACCTTGTCTTGATCATGCACCCCCTCCCTCCTTCTTCCACGTTTTGTACATGTTCTTTTAAAATACAGACTCTCTGAGTGCAGTTAAAGATTCATCACTCTACCTCCCCAAAAGAGATTTCAGAAAAGTGCTTCTCAAACTTGTCATCAGCACAATATCTTCTTAACAGTTTGTTATTACCAACCTGATGAACTGTGGAGCCACCAGAACCCTGAGCATCTGAAGAACGGGTCACGGGAAGTGGAGGTACGAGATCTGTTTTAGAACTGCAGAGAGTGAATTTTAGAATTAATGACTGGGACAGTTCCCAGAATCACAACTTGAGTTAGAAGAGGGCTATAGGATGGAAAGCATGTTTTATATATCTTTGTATTCCTTATAGTGCCTACCACAGTGCTTTACACA